CCAAATAAAAATTTCAGCACAAAAGTGAAGGGATTATTTGGCATTTGTGATTGAGTGCTGGACTGGTGTGTCTTGGCTCAATAATGGACTGGGTGAGAGCCAACAAACTGAAACTCAATCCAGATAAGAGTGAGGCAGTGTTAGTGGGTGGTTCCCTAGACCAGGTGGATGAGAGGCTATTGTTCTTGCAGTATTTTATCAGTGAACAGATACATGTGTTGGGGACACCACCACCTAGAGGGAAACTGCTCCCTTAGTCCCCCTTTTAAAAAATTAGATATTTGTGGCTCTCTTCCTCAATGTGACCCTTTCCCGCTGCCACCCATTCCCTTACAATGCTTTTTAAGCTTCCTTGTAGCTTGGTGTAATATGCTTAGACATGAGATGGACACGAACACCGGAGACGGGATGAACTAGGTTTGTTGAAACATGGGGAAAGAGGAGAGACATATGAATTGAAGAAGAAAAGGCCGCCATGTTGGCCCATAAGAATACATTCCAAACCCACAGATTTAGTTAGTTAGTTAGTTAGTTAGTTAGTTAGTTAGTTAGTTACTTACTTACTTACTTACTTACTTACTTACTTACTTACTTACTTACCGGTACTTACTTAATAAAATTTATAACCTGTTCTTCACAATGATGTTGTGCATCTACAGGAGCGGCAAATGGATCTGGCCAATGCCACCGGCCGGAAAGTGACTGAATTTGTTCTCCTGGGCTTCCCCTCCCTCTCGCCCGCATTCCGCTTGCTCCTGTGCTCCTTCCTTTCCGCCAGCTACGCTTTCACCCTACTGGGGAACCTCAGCATCCTGTGGACTGTGCTCAGGGACACCCGTTTGTCCCGCATGCCCATGTACATCCTGCTGGGCAACTTCTCCGGACTGGAAATGTGCTACGTCACCTCCACGGTACCTCGGATGCTCATCGACATGGCCTCTCCTCCAGGGATCATTTCCTTCCATGACTGCTTCTTGCAGTTCTATTTCTTCTTCTCCATGGGGGCAACGGAGTGTTTATGCCTCTCCAGCATGGCCTTAGACCGGTACCTGGCCATCTGCCACCCACTGCGCTACACAATGCTCATGTCTCCCCAGTTTTGCAGCACCTTATCAGCTTGCTGCTGGATCTCTGGTTTCCTGTGGTTTCTCGTGCCCATCATCCTCATTTCCCAGCTCCCCTTTTGTGGCCCCAACATCCTGGATCATTTTGTTTGTGACCCAGGCCCACTTCTAGCTGCTTCCTGCAGCCCAGCACCCCTCACGCAGATGTCCTGCTACGTCCTCAGCTCCCTCATCATCTTCGCAACCTTCCTCTTCATTGTAGCCTCCTACGGCACTGTTCTGCAGAAGGTTCTGAAGCTCCCTTCCACCGCAGGCCGACGCAAAGCGTTTTCTACCTGCACCTCCCACCTGGCGGTGGTCAGCTTGTTCTATGGCTCCGTCATGGTCACCTATGTCAACCCAGAATCTTCAGGAGGGAGCAATAAAGCGGTGACTCTCTTCTACTCTGTGGTAACCCCTCTGCTCAACCCTCTCATCTACAGCTTGCGGAACAAGGAGATGATAGCGGCATTGAAGAGAACATTGCTTCAAGGATGTTGAAGGCCTCAAGTGCAGTTCTCAGGGAGAAAGTGATTCTCCTTCTGTGTACCCTACTGCACAGGGGTTGAAGTAAGAGTAAAATGCTGTTTTTGAGCCTCCTGGAAGTTGGACTGCAAATGCAACACCAAATAAACGAAGTGGAACAGAGATTCTGAGGAGGAATCCAAGCCAATGGTTGGAATATAGCAGACATACCCTATATCTAGTTCGTTATTTTTATTTTCTTATTTAAAAAAAACCCCACCCCACCCTCCACAGGAGATGAGATTACAGATGGCCATACAGCCAGCAGCCCCTAAAATAATGTGTTTCCGGCCACTTATCTGAGTTAATAAACAATTATAGTTTAAAATTATACTAGCCAGTAAATTTTGTAGTGTGAGGGAGGTTCTGCCCTGTCCTCTTTAGCTGTATGCCTAATAAAGGTATGCCACTCTGTTGTTTAATTTGCTAGTCATTTTTTTCTATCAAAGCTAACTGCCATACTTTCTTATACCATGTGGCAATTAATATTCCTTCCCCCACCCCAAATCCATTAGCTTGCTATTACTAACCTCATTGCCAACAGTAACTAACCAAAGGGATGCTTGAATATCTGTTTTAAACATTTGATTCATTTTATTGCTGTTTTTTAAGGCAATGATGTTTTTATGGGTCATGCTTTAGCTCCAATTTCATGTGTGCATCACTTGGTACCCATTTTATAAATCTGCTAAAAAAAATCAGCTTTCTCCATTGGTTTTTTAGTATTCCCCTTTTAACTGCAGTTTCTTACTGGTGTTTCTGCTTCTCATTGAAAAGGAATGTCAGTGTAGATTATAAATTGTTGCTTTTCTATGTTCTATGGCCCTTTATATGTTCTACGCATAACTTGAAATGACGCATAACTTGAAATGTTAGCCCCAGCAATGAGAGTGCAATATTTATGAAATTGGATAATATTATTGAAAGAATCAAAGTTTAAATGTCAAAAATGATAATATGTTTTGTTTTCAGAGTAAATGGATAATAAGGAATTTAAACTTAAACTGCAATTGAAAGTACAAAAGAAACACATGAAACAAGGTTATAATTTGCTGATAAATTTATTGTCAAGAATGCATTGTGAGGGAGATGTGGGGAAGTCCGATAGAAAGTTGAAATAAGCTGTTGAAAGGTTATGATTCTTTTTTTTTCTTTTTTGTGTCTTTTCTTTTTTCTTTCTGCTTTTCTTCTTTTTCTTCTGTTTGTGATTGAAAAAAATGCAATAAAAATTACTTTTAAAAATATATATATATATGTTCTACCCAACCCACTTCACCCCAGTTCTCCACTGTAACCTTGGCCGTTCTTTGAGATACTGAAGAGGGCACTTAAGTGGCCAGCTAAGGCCACTGTTTTACAAATAAATTTGTCCAACCGGTTCAGCAACCTCTTCTATTGGAGTCTAACCCTCACTGGATACAGGATCACAGGCCTGGAAAAGATTCAAGGGTATCATCCAGACTGACCCTCCCAAACTCCTAACAATACAGAAAATAAGCGTTTGTGGTGATGGGAACTGTTTAATGATTTCTAGGAATTGTTCATATAAATGTGTGTGTTTCTGACAGCTGCTTCATGCTGCAGTGGCACAAGGGAAAGAATGACCGAGGCCTTTGGATAATGCTGCTCTGGTACTGAGGCTTGTATTCTGGCTTAGACATGTTGAAACTCACCTTTTGGGAATGCCAAATGAGGGAGACTGGGTAATCTGCTTTGGGGTGCAGAACTGTGAACAAGAGCGTGCACGAGGAGAAGGAGGGAGGCTGGAAGAGATCCTGGTGGACTGGAAACTTACCTGAAAGGAATAAGATGGTGTTAAAAGTGTAATTGTGTTTCATTATTGGTTTTTGATTATGTGTGTTCTAATTGCCTTTGCCAATTCGTTATTTTTCTACAAGGAAGTTGTAGTTTGCTGCTTGTTTGTACATCTGGGGACAGATGCCTTGTTCTTGGGAATGGGTAGTGTTATGAGTTCGGGAGGGGTGGTAAACTGTGTGCCGAGAGACTTCTAACCCCTGGATCCAGCAAATGTTAAAATATAAGCCAGGCTAGCTTCTTGGTCAGACGATCGCCTGGGTGATGGGCCACTAAGAAGAACATGAATGGTGATGGGCCATTAAGGGGCCATTAAGGACTCTGTATGAGGTGGCAAATGGCTGGGGCCCATCCCTCAACTTGCGGATAGTTAGAAGAATAAAGTCAGAGCTGGGAGTTGAGACTTGCAGTGATGTGAGCTAGATGAAAAGCAGCAAGCTGGAAAGACAGTCTGATTTCTGCTGGAATCCAAGGCTGTGATTCTGGAAGAAGTAAGGCCTTCTTGGGCTGTTAATACTGTGAACCCTCCATTGTAGGATCAGGTGGTCTATATGTGTAAATAAACCATATATCATAAAGACACCACAGTCTCTGCTGTACCTCATTTTCAAAGGGAAAAACGAACCCTGGGTAAGCGCCTGGAATCATTGGAATCTCGCACCGCTCAGAGAATGGGGTGGTGCACAACAATATTTACTCTAAGAAATTGGCCTCCCCTGCCTTATTGTGTGAAATGTTTGTGCTGCGATTTTTTTTAGGATGCCAGCAAAAGGCAGACTTATTTCTGTCTCCCATCAGCTGATGGCGGAGGGAGAAAGAAACCTGGCTTTGGCAGGCATTGGCTGTGTGAGGAAGAACTCTTTTGCACATTAGATGTCTAGAACCAGGTGATGGGCAGGAGAAAGAAGCATTTTCCCAGGCCTAGGCTTGACGTTTCCCAAAATACCACACACATTACTGGTAATACCCTTTGTACTTTGGTTCCCAAGTGCCCAACAACCACTGCAAAGAAATTTGACAGGTGGGCAGAACAGCCCACATATCAATCTTGTGCTATCATGATGGTGCCATGTGATTGATGGGTGAGTTGTCCCACCCACCTGTCATTGGGTGGCCAATATAAATACTACTGATAAGAAAAGCCACTGTAGCTCCTCAATAAAAGACATGGGAACACAGCACACTCCACAACCACATTTGATGGGGAAAATAATAATATTCCATTGTTTGGCTTTTATTTTACACTTTTAAACAGTCAGCGATAAGCCATGCCTACTGCAGAAAAAGCCATTATAGCAGCAACTCCAAATGTCAATTGGTAAGTGCTCCAAATCTGGAGAAATCCTCCCTGGTTTCTCTCCAGCAAGCATATAATGTTCTTTCTTCCTCAGCTCACCTGCGGAATATTAGCACAGCTCTGCTAAAGCGACTGTCACTATCCAGATCTTTGCTTCCCCATCACCCTCTGGAGATAAGGGTCCCTTGAGGCTTTGGCCTGAGGATCTGACATAACAGCCTCCTTTCACCGGCCAGTTCTTTGGAACTAAAGACGGGAACATGCTAGCAGAGAAGTATTTGGGAGAGGTAAGGTATGCTTGCTTGTTTGTACTCTCCCTCTGTCCAAAGCCCTCAGCCTAAGTAGGCAGCTATTCTGCAGAACAAGGTGGAGGGGGAAGGGGGTCTTCCCTATTCTAACCACTGTACCCTACTGTCCTTCATGGAAGCAACATAAAACAATGGACTCTGGAGGAATTCCACTTCTCTGACCTAGAAAATCTTTCACTTTTTGTCTGCCAGAACTGTAAACAGAATTATTGGTTGTGCCTGCATCTGAGCATTGCTTGAAATTCTGAAGACAGGGGAGAAGGAGAGGGATAGAAAGCTCCAGTGACTCATATCTAAAGCCTGTTTATTTTCATGCCCTATTTTTCATCCACGTAGCCATAGAATTGTAGAGCTGGAAGTGACCCAAAGGATCATCTAGTCCAACCCTCTGCTATGCAGGAATTACTTCTAATGGAGGAATCACAGCTTGGGTTCCATCATTTTTAGTGGTGGTAGTAGTAGTAGTAGTATTTCATTTTTTGCATTTATTTGTCACCTTTGCCCCAAGGAGCTCACATGATTCTCCCTCTCTCCATGTTATCCTCACAACAACCCTGTGAGGCATCTTAGGCTGAGAGCTGGTGACCGACCAAAGGTCACCCAAGGAGCTTAATGGCCTAATAGGGATCTGAACCCTGGTTTCTCAGGTCCCATCCAGGCACACACCAGCTGAAACTTGCTTAGCTTTAGCAAGGTGGTATCTACAGACACTGGTCCTTATAAGCCTAGTCTTTACTGAAGTTGTAAACTTGAGAAGGTTTGCCTAGATCAGGGGTCAGCAACCCGCGGCTCCGGAGCCGCATGTGGCTCTTTTACACCTTTGCCGCGGCTCCGGGGCGGATACTAGCAAAGGGAGGAGGCGCATTGTGCACCCCGACACTCCCCACTGTGGCGGGCGCTGTACTGGCTGTGACGTCACATGGGGGCGATGCGTGCGTTAGTCACGCACTGTCCCGATGTCACCTTCCCGCCCGCTGTCAGATCGCGGCTCCAGAGATATATTTGTTTTAAATGTCGCAATGGTTTTGCGGCTCCCAGTTTTGTTTTTTTCTTCGGAAACGGGTCCAAGTGGCTCTTTTTGTCTTAAAGTTTGCAGACCCCTGGCCTAGCTCCTAAGCTCAGTGCATGTTTGACAACAGTAAAATACAAATTAATGCATTTCTGTGTTTCTTGCTATAATCATATGCAAATATGTATGTGTGTAATTCAATTGATTGCTTCATTCCCCCTTCCGCTTCCCGTTTTCCCATGCACTAGATCTGAATTTAACAAATTAACATGACAGATGTCGTCCTTGAATCTGCCCAAACATGCGGTAAGAAATTTTGTTAAATATTTCTTCCTTGTCCTCAGCTGAGTATTGCTTTTCAGTTTTATTTGTAAATATAAAGTAGTCCGGCAACAGCAGTCAAACCAGATACTGCAATAAGATAAGATGACAAGATAAATCTTCAAAACAAAAAAATTCCTTCCAGTAGCACCTTAAAGACCAACTAAGTTAGTTCTTGGTATGAGCTTTCGTGTGCAAGCACACTTCTTCAGATACACATCTGAAGAAGTGTGCTTGCACACGAAAGCTCATACCAAGAACTAACTTAGTTGGTCTTTAAGCTGCTACTGGAAGGAAGTTTTTTGTTTTGACTATGGCAGACCAACACGGCTACCTATCTGTAACAAGATAAATCTTCATTATACATGATATAGCCTTTTTGTGTCCTCTGTGTACAAAGGCATAGGGATCTGATTTAATCCAGATTAGACTATATTGCCCATTTAGCGAAGTATTGCTTATTCTGATTGGCAGCAGTTCTGCAGGGTCCGGTCAGAGATCCTTCCTAGCACCTGCACCAGATCATTTTAACTAGAGATATCAGGAAGGGAAGCTGGTTCTTTCTGCAAGTGAACCATGTTCTCTGTCAGTCAGCTATGGTTCCTCCCTGAAGATTCTGATCGAGGGAGGAAAAGTGTTTGGGGTTGTCTTTGACAGAATGGCCCCAAAATCTTATCCCAAAAGATATGATTGCATATCATGGCTTGGGAAGTGGGATGTGGAGCCAGGGAGTGGCTTGGATGTCAGACTGTTGGAGTTAGACTGGGGCCACATCTATGCCATACATTTAAAGTACTTCTACCACTTTAACACTCATTACTTCCCCCAAAATAATCCTGGGACCTGTAATTTGCTAAGGGTGCTGGGAAATGTAGTTCTGTGACAGCTGCTAGCAGCTTTGGGGACGTTTAATGAACTATGAGGGTGGCTCTGTGGTCTAAACCACTGAGCCTTGGGCTTGCCGATCAGAAGGTCGGCGGTTCGAATCCCCACAACGGAGTGAGCTCCTGCCGACCTAGCAGTTCGAAAACACGCCAAAAGTTCAAGTAGATTAATAGGTACCACTCCGGCAGGAAGGTAAGCAGCATTTCCGTGCACTGCTCTGGTGTCAGTGTTTCATTGAGCAGAAGCGGCTTAGTCATGCTGAGCACATGAGCTGGAAAAACTGTCTGCGGAGTGGACAAACGCTGTCTCCCTTGGCCTGTAAAGCGAGATGAGCACTGCAACCCCAGAGTTGTTCACGACTGGACTTTACTGTCAGGGGTCCCTTTACCTTTACCTTTAATGAACTACAGTTCCCATGATTCTTTGGGGGAAGCCATGATACTCAAAGTGGCATAAGAGTGCTTGAAATGTATGGACCCCAGCTTCAAATCTCTGCTTAGTCACAAACCCTGCTAAGTGACTCTGGGCCAGTCACTGCCTCAAACTCCCTCACAGGGTTGTTCTGAGAATAAACAGAATGGGGGCTAAATAATAATAATAATAATAATAATAATAATAATAATAATAATAATAATATCTTATTAACTAAATAGCATGTTCTCAAAGAAATAAGTAAAATTTCTGGAAACACTGAAAATGCTCTGTGTGTATGTGTATGAGTGTTTGTGAGAGAAAAACACAGACAAACATAAATTCAATTAATCATCATCATCATCATCAGACGGACAAATAGAGAATTCTTGAAAATTAGGTATTTTTTTTAAAATCAGCATTCACCTGACATCTAATGCTAGCATTGCCTATGTTTCTTTTGCCTCAGATTTCATAAGTAATTTTTTTAAAATTCTGATTATCCTTTTAATATGTTTATGTAGTTCTTTACTATATTGCTGTAATTTATTGTTGCAATCTATTCTGGAAAATCACTTTGGGACATTCTGTTGTAGGAAGTGATTCAGTAAACTAATTAAACAAACTGACCTGTCTGAATATCACCATGCAAGTTTAAAACTGCAACAGCAACAGAAGCAATCTCAGAATTGTGTAATAGCAACTGAGACTTTAATTCTTCTCAGAATTAGTTCATTTTAAGTCACTTTCAGGGCCCCTTTTAGAGCTAAAATGTGGCAAGAAAATGTTGTTATGAATGAAAACTTTAAAAAGAATGTTTAAGGCAGTTCCCACCTTCCATACAAGTTCGAACATTTTCTGCTTTTTACTATTATTTAGTTTAATGTACGGATGTATTTGAAATATTTATTTTTTGTATTATATGCTATATCATTTTTTAAAATCAAAGCACTTTACTATAATGTCTATATATAATTAGCACATATAAAATGTTAAAATCAGAGGCAATCAACTAACTATAATGGTAAGATGGTTATAAAGATGATAATAATCGGGGGGGGGGGGTGAGCAGGAACTCAAGAGAACTGAGTTCCCTTACCTTTTTTAAATTAAATATTTTTTTGTCTGGGGGTGCTGGAACAGATATACACCCAATGCCTGAGCCAAAAATCCACCTATATCTGTAATCAATATAGTTGTGGCCATTTCTAATCCAGATCATTGACAGCTTGAGTTTATTAATCACATCTTACATTTAGCCACTGCAATAAACAATCAAACTTTGTGGTGAGTTCCCCTACCTTTTTCCAGGAAAAAGCACAGATAATAATAATATTAATAATATCATTGCTACAAATATATAATAGACAATGTACAATATTAGAGAGAAAAGAAGTGAACAATAAGAAAATGAATATATATAATGCATATTCTCCACCTCTTTCTTCCCCCTGCCCCTCAAATTGATTCATTTTTGTTCTCTTTGAACAGTTGCCAGCTTTTTTTTAACCCTAACCATATAATCTTGCCTGCACACATCCGGAAATTGGCAGGGAGGGGGGAAGCAGAAGAGGATTGTGAGGTCAGTGTGTGTAGCATTTGGCCAGGCTAAAGATCTCCCCTAGCAAAAGTTAACCATTTCCACACACCCCTCTGTGCCAACAGGGGCAGCACCCTTTGGACCAAGCCAACGACACCAGCTTGACAGCAGGGTTTGTCCTCTTGGGCTTCCCGTCCCTCTCGCCTGCCTCCCGCCTGCTCCTTTGCTCTTTGCTGTCCATTTGCTATGCCTTCACCTTGGTGGGGAACCTGTGCATTGTGTGGGCCGTCCTCCGGGACTCTCGCCTCACCCACTTGCCCATGTACATCCTCCTGGGGAACTTCTCCAGCTTGGAGATGTGCTACGTATCCACCACGGCGCCTCGGATGCTGTGGGATCTGTCCTCGCCACTGCCAGGCATCATCTCCTTCAACGGATGCTTCCTCCAGTTCTACTTTTTCTTCTCTATGGGAACCACCGAGAGCTTCCTCCTCGCAGCCATGGCACTGGATCGCTACCTGGCCATCTGCCACCCGCTGCGTTACCCGATGCTCATGTCCCCCCGGTTTTGCTGCTCCCTATCAGCTTTCTGCTGGGTATCCGGTTTCCTGTGGTTCCTGGTACCCATCGTGCTGATTTCCAAGCTCCATTTCTGTGGCCCAAACACCCTCGATCATTTCATCTGCGACCCAGGCCCACTGCTGGCTTCCTCCTGTGTGCCAGCCCCCACCACAGAGATGGCTTTCTACAGCCTCAGCTCGATTGCCATCTTTGGACCCTTCCTCTTCATCGTGTGCTCCTACGCGGCGGTCCTCAAGGCGGTCATGCAGCTGCCTTCAGCCGCCTCGAGGCAGAAGGCCTTCTCTACTTGCACCTCCCACTTGGCAGTGGTGGGCCTTTTCTACGGCTCCATCATGGTCACCTACGTGGCTCCCGAAGCTTCAGGGGGCAGCAACAAGGTGGTGACCCTCTTCTATTCTGTGCTGACCCCTTTGCTCAACCCAGTTATCTACAGCCTGAGGAACAAGGAGATGAAAGACGCCTTAAGGAGAACACTGTTCCAGGGAAATTAGGGGCTTTGATCCGCGGATGGTTGGTTTGGACCTTGGCCAAGAGATCGGGGCCTTTCCCTCTGTAGGAGCTACCATGGCTGGCTGGAAACAGGAGAGAGGGGTGAAATCCAGTTCAGTCGGCATTTAAAGGCAAACTTACCTCATTCCTGTTCCCCGAAATAACATCATGTGAAACCAAACACAACTAGCTTTTGAAAGGTTTTATCTTCTTGCAGTCCATGGGACTCTCAAGAGTTCTTTTAAGAGGGATTAAAGGGGACACCAGGAAATAAACTTAACTAAGAGATTCAAATGAATCTGCAAACTAGCTTCCAGCTATATTGAGGGGAATCTGCTCCGCTACATCATTTACTAGAGTGAGTGAAGGAAGGATAACACTTATTCAATATATCCTTTCCTACTATTCTTAACATTCCCACATTTCCCAGGCAACCTGAGACTTCTTCACATTGTCTGCCTCTGCTCCGCCCTCTTCATGCCTCTTCAGGTTCTGTGAGAGCAGAGGAGAGGGGAGCTTGTCCTATACACAGAACCTAGGAGATGCTTTCTAAATTGCATTTGTTCAAGAAAGCGGTCTCTCCTCAGCAGAGAGGGTCCTATAGCTGCTGAGCAAATAATGTCTCTGTGACTCATAATGTGGCCCTCTTTATGCTGGTGGCAAGAAAAATCAGGAAGAATGAATTGGATAAAATTTCAGTAAATTGTAAGGTAGATTAGGAGGTCTAAATAGAATTGCATGGCATGTAATCATGGAGGCGCCCCATTTGCAGTCTCACTTGCAAAATACCGTTCTGATGGCTTATGCAGAGGCTTTGTTTACATATGCATTCTTTTTTAAATTGTATTTCTGATTTTCAGTTTTACACATTTCAAGAATTTTACAATTGTTTTAACATTTCAAAACTTGACTTCCTTCCCCTTCTTTCTGTGGTTCCTTATATTTATTTTTAATATTTTCTGCATATCCAAAATTGTTCATTTATTCATCTACCTTAAATATATACTCTTAAAAAACTGCAGGTTATTACAGCAATCCCGCCAATGTTCTTATCTGTTTGTAATTTGTTTGTAAATATTCCATAAACAATTTCCATTCTTTTATTAAAAAGTTTGTTATTTTGATTTCTTATTTTTCTGGTAAATTTTGCCATTTCTGTGTATTCCATTCTTCTTTTGTTGGGACTTCTTCTTCTTTCCTTTTGGGGCAAATAACATTCCTGCCACTGTAGTCACATACAAAAATAATTTCTATACAGTTTGGGTAGTTTACACATGCATTCCTTTGTTAAGTGTTTGCACAGTTTTGTTATGGCCTTTGGTTAGTACAATAAAAGCTTATTTTCTTTACACTAAACTCATTCAGAGGCTTGAGCAGGTCCGTATCTCCTGGCCTAATGTACATAAAGAGATGAGTTGTAGGGCACTTTGTCCTAAAGAAAACAAAAAAAACCACAAAAATTGCCAGCAATAACTCACTATCTGTCCCAAGCACTTATTTCAGTTCACTGCAGTGCTGAGGTATCTTTTCCCTCAGGCCATCACACTCTGTACTCATCCCAGAAGTAACAAGGATAAGGACCAAACGTATTGGCTTGAATCTACCCTCACATTCTTCTAAGCAGCAACTGCACACATCACTCCAATTCCCAGTTTAGACAGCCATTTCCTCTGGAGGATTCAGCTCCAGAAGCTTCCGTCAGTTAGATCAAGGAAGAAAAACCATATTGGCCTAATTAACTGGTGCCTGGATATGAACTTTTCTGGCAAGCTTTGTTGGGCTACCCTGCGGGAGCCAATTTAAAAGATGATCTGTAACTGCAACATTTAGCGGTGCCAAAGTAGAATGATTTTCATGGAGGAGTCGAGACGCAGTTCACCCACTCAATAGGTCACAGAAAAGTCACCTTGCTCTGTCGTCAGTTGAAGAGAGGGGATTGGTGGGGTGAGTTCTGCTCAAAGGAACTCTTTGAAATTGAGGAAAATATCAGTCACTTTTCCCAGCAGAGAACAGGTGATAGAAGCTAAATTTATCCTCTATGCATCCGTTTTGTTCTGCATGGGGAGGCAAGCTAGTATTTAGAGGGATGATTTTCACTAGTGAAATGGCACCGGGGGGGGGGGGAGTTAAACCTCTCCTCCACCAGCCATCATATGCCCAATTCAAATCTTCTTCTCTCCCCAACTGTTTTTAAAGGCTTTAAAAAGTGTGGTTTGGACATTAGTGTAATGGGTTAAAAATGCTCTCCCTATATAATTTCTGTTAAATTGAGGCACATTTTTAAAATAAAACTTTGTGCAGACAATAGGGGGCGATAGAACATAAAGGATGGGGGATACGGGAGAAAACTTGAGCATTAGTAACATGCAAAATATCTGCAGGTATTTTTTAAGTCTCATAGACGTACTCAGTTTTGCAAGCCACATCCAATCATGTAAGCCTGTAGTGTAACTCAGAAGTCTACATGCTGGACTGGGGTAATTATGGGATTAGTGCAGGTGATAGACTATAAGAGTGTTCCTTCAGCAATGCTCTCCAACCCGTTTGTTTTTTATAACAAGGAAGGTCAACATCTGTACTCTATGACTACTCAATTCTCCAACCAGCTGTTCAAGGGCTGACGTGTATTTTACCTCCATTGAGATCACCCACCACAATAAAGCTGCCGCCATGTTAGGGCTTCCTACATAAGGAGCCCATCGTAAATACGTACCTGTGCACAGGGCACATGTTAACACTGCTTGATTTTCTATGTTACATGAGTCAAAGAGAAAGATGTTAACATTTCATCATCATCATCTTTTATTTGTATCCTGTCCTCCCCAGCCAAAACCAGGCTCAGGGCAGCTAACATCCAATATATAACATTGGTATAAAATCGAACATTAATTAAATTACCTCCTAAAAACAAGTCAGGATCAAATTAAAATCTAATTAGATGGCTTTCCACAGGATTAGGGTTGGGAACAGTAAATGCTCACCAGGCCCAACTGTTTACGCTGTTCTTATATGAGCCTGTGAGAATGATGGGAGGCCTCTTTCATACTAGTTCTTATACAAAAAGAGAAGGGGAGTCAGGCTGAGCCCTGACCAAAGGCCTGGTGGAACAACGCCGTCTTGCAGGCCCTGCAAAAGGATGTCAAATCCAGCAGGGCCCTGATTTCTTGTGGCAATCTCCCCAATTCTTGCAACCCTTCTTTCCCTTCAGAATGGACATGTGGGCAAACCTTTGAACCATTCCTCAATCAAAATTTGGTAGGTCCATCAGGGACTAAATGGCACTCCTTCCAGGAAAGGTGGATCAGCAAGGCAACTTTTACCCATCCTTCTTCTATAGCAAGGAAAGCTGGCCATACTCCCATGAGGCAAGTCGTCACTGCTCAGCCGTGGTGTCTCTCAGTCTACCCTAGACTGTGAACCTGAAGGAGCTTCTCCACCCCCATCATCCAGCCCAGAGACTGAGGTCTAGCTCTGGGGTCCTTCTTGCGGTTCCCTCATTGTGAGAAGTGAAGCTACATGGAAACAGGAAGGGCCTTCTTGGTAGTGGTGCCCACCCTGTGGAATGCCCTCCCATCAGATGTCAAGAAGGTAAACAAGCATACAACCTTCTCTAGACAAGTATACAACCTTCTGTTAAATTAAATCTGAAGGCAGCCCTATATTGAAACACTTTTAATGTGTGATATTCTGTTGTGTTTTTGTATATTCTGTTGGAAGCCACCCAGAGTGGGCTGAGTCAACCTAGTCAGGTGGATGGAACTCAAAAAATAAAGTAACCACCACCACACAGGGCTGCTATGAGGATAAAACTGGATCATGTGCTTTACCCTGCTTTGAGCCTTGCTAATCGAATCTTTTTTAATCTTTGTTATGGGAACCAAACACAAGGCATTGCCCAAAAAGCAAAGAATGCAGGTTTTTATTGGTTAAAGTAGGGAACAGAAAGAGCAGAATATGTATAAAAATTACAAAGTCGAACTCAAAACATTGCCAAATAAATACGGATGTTATTATCTCCTGTATATATACACACACACACAATAAAAGACAATGGGGGCTAGTGCTCAGCCAACTGGGATCTACGAAAGACAGAAGAGCCAAACAAGCTCAAATGCCCAAACTCAAGTGAAATGGAAGTTAAGGTGAGAAACGGGCAACAGGGTCGCCCTCCCTAACAGTAGAGATGGGGCAGGCCTGGTGTTGGAAAAGTGGGAAGAGTCTAGGGAAAGACATGGGAGTGAGCTGAGCAGCCCTGCTGATTTTTCAGACTGACTCATGAAGGCTAATTCTTATTACTGCAGAGGATCGAGGCTAGGCTGATGCATAGGGAAGTAGAACTAGAGGGAGCAAAACTAGGGCTTAACCCTGGAGTCCTGCAATTCCCTCTCTTGTCTCTCACTCCTTCAACCTAGTGTCTTTGAATGTATGATAAAAACAAATCCAACCTTGCTGGGCCCTAGATAGCCAAGGTAGTGTCCTCCAGATGTTGTTGGACAACAACTCCCATCAGCCCCGGCTATCATAGCCAAGGAGGAGAAATGCTGGGAGCTGTCGTTCAGCAACAGCTGGATGACACCGCCTTGGCTAACCCTGCCCCAGGCCTTTGATTTTATAGATCCTCTGAGAGGTAGCAGGTTCTGCCTGAAGGCCAAGCACCACCAGGCAGGAGAGCAGTCCCACCACTTGCCGTCTCCTCCTCCTGCCCCCTCACTTCATTCACTTTGTGCCTGATACACAATGGTGGCTGCAGCCTGGCTCTGGGATCCTTGCACTTTGCCATTCACCACTAGCAGGAGAGGCGTCTCCACCCGGATGCTAGAAAAAGTAAAACTCTGAAAAAGAGGAATGGAGAAAAGGTTAGGGTGTGGAGGAAGGATTCAATCTAAGTAAGGCCTCCCTCCCTCCAAACCTTGCTGACTGTAACTGGGACTACAGGGACTATTTTCAGGCAAGATTTGCTTACATATTGGCAAATTTAGGCAGCGTAATCACAGCTGATGGA